AAATTCATCCACCTCAGTCTCTAAATAAACAATTTGAAGGACGATATTACATGCTCTCTTTGACTTTTATTATACTCCATTTCATCAAACTTGAGTATGAAAATGACTGATCTTTACTAGGCAAGCCCGTTAAAGCAGTCCATTGCTGCTTAAGAATGGCAAGCATTGTCACCGTGCCCAAAAGTAGAATTTGTTTAATGAATAATTTCACTCTTGTTAAACATTATGTATCTAACGGCTGTACTTGCTATAGGACCCATACACTCATAAATGTATGTTCCGTATATTTTTTAACCATTTTACGATTTTACGGAAAAATAAAGTCATAGCCTCTGTATAATTATGCAGGTTATGTCTTTGGACATGACAGTAGTTCAAGAATAAGCCTTTGATATTTGATTGTTGTTCAACTGGATAAAACATATGGTTGTGCGTGTGTGGATGGGCGTAAAATGGGGGTGTTGTGTATTTCTGGTGTTTGGGTACTTTGGGTCTTTGGGAAATCGATTTTGTACACGACAATAAACATGTATACCAGTCTTTATACGGGGCCAAAAAAGACAAAAATTGTGTTTAATTGTACTGACAGGATTCCCTTTTGAATTTGAATTAAAACTAAATCAAATGAGAATCCCGCTCTCTTCTTTATATTTTTAATATACTTACCATGTATGCGGAAATGTTATATATTTTCTTATGTTATATCTTTATGGCACTTTTAACATGCGTATTCAATCCCTGCTTTAGGCTTGAAGAGGCTGTAAGAGGGAAAGGATGATTTTATCATTCTCATTATTGATGAAGCATTAGTCACTTTTGTACAGTATTATTTGAACATGATGAACTATAAAAGTTAAAACATGCTTTATACCAGCGTTTCTTCTACCGGGGTGCCGCGAGAGAAATATTTTGCATCCATTGTGAAACTTACGTTAATTTCGTGAAAACAAAATATTAGAAACCCTAATGTGTTTTCACGAAAAGTTAACATTTAAAACTCTTTTTTTCCCAAAGGAGGGTGGCGTGACTTTAAAAAGGTTAATAAATGCTGCTTTATACGACTAAAGTAAGTAGTGTAGTTGTGTAGATTTTGTGTAAGGGCTACAGTGCATCCGTGTAAAGAGCCGTGTTATATGAACATGAGGTTCAGCACCGAGTCTGGGAAACTTGGAAATAATTTTAAATACAATTTATACAGTGCGTATGCCGAAAAGTGTACCCACATTTCGTTGAACTATTTAATAAGTCATAACCAATAACCAACTTTGAAATCTACTTCATGATAAAAAAAGTAACTTGTTCTCTGTCAAATGGAACCATATTCATAATATACATGTAATGGGTGACTGAACACTAGGGTCTTTCAAACGTGTTGTCAAAATCGCCTTGTACCAAGTTTAGGCTGATGGAGAGAATGTGGGTCAGGCAATATGCATGTGCTTTTTGGGTCTTTAATACTTTTGAAAATAAAAATATGCCTCGTGAATGAAAACACAAATGTTACTACATAATAATAATAATATTTTAATTCTATATAGCGCTTAATACAAATGTCACTAAGCGCTTTACAAGTATACTAAACCCAAATGCACGAAGAAAAAAAACATTTGATGGTATCAAAGAAATTGACAGTAGACTTTTAAAAAAAAAAGATAACATTAGATTTAAGCTATTAATACTGGAATCTTCATGACCAAATAAAACTGAGGGTAAAATTTGACTCAATTAACTCCAGGTTAATTTAAGATTGGTGGATGTGCGTAAAACGAGACACTCCGCCCCCCCCCCCAATATAAATGTGAAAAAAGAACCAAACATTAAGAGAAAAATATAGAGGGACAGCAAAAAGAGAGGAAAGTAGTTTAAAGGCAGAATATTGCTACTTTTAGACAAATTACTATAAAATTGAAAAACGTCTGTATTAATCTTAAATATTAGCTAGGATCTATTTTGCAACATGATAAAAACTGTTCAACGCCATAGTTTAACATGGACCCCATATCTGCTCGGGTATAGAACTGTACGGCTCATGTACTACCCCTTTTGTCAAAACAAAACTTCAGACCAAAACCGGCGTACTAACCCAATTTTTACCAAAATATAAAGCAATTCAATAGGCTTTGTGTCAGTCCGGGATGGTTGAACTTTATTTACAAAAAACCGTGCATTCACAGCATGAAAGATGTTTTTCTATTTAAAAACAAAATCTATTATGGTAAGAGGCCAGTTTGCCCCCTCGCAGTAATAACCCCAAGTTTGTGTTTCCCATAACAATGACAGAGGGCTGAAATAAAAAAGCAATATTTCTTTGACTGATGAAAGCGAGGGAAAGCAATCAACAACGTGATATGAAATCTGATAACCCTAATTTACACGTTTGGTGTGATAACAGGAAATAAAGGAACAGATAAGCCATCTACTGAAGTGATTACAGCAAACTAAATCAATTTATATACTGATAATTCCATGATCTTTCAATATATTTACAATGATACATAACTTTTCTTTTATGTTGTCATTTACGACTATATCCTTTAAAGATGAAGTTGAGTTCTGGTCATGCGATTGCATTGTGAAAGAAACGGTGTGGAACCGACCAGAAAAGGTTAATCATCTAGCATATAAGAATTTGTGTGTATTGCAAGGTTCTGGAATCATCAAAATGATAAGAAATTTCGCCAAGTCTTGGTAAAGTTACAAACACTTGCACAGAAAGATGTATATGAGACTACACGAACACGTGGCGTAAAAAGCCGGCCCCCCCCCCCCCGATTTTTACGATTTTACATGCATATTTAGATACGCGAACCTTTTTATTTGCAAAAAGGGTGCCGTCACTATCAAAATTTTGATAAATGCTGCTTTATACGACTGAAGTAGGTTGTGTCAACTTTGGGAAAGGGCTACGGTGCATCCGTGTAAAGAGCCATGTTATATGAACATGTAGTCAAGCACCGAGTCTTAAAGGTAATACAAAGTTTTGGGAAATTTTGAAAATTTGATAGAAGTGATTCTTTACAATGTTGATGTATTTGGATGCCCCTGTGGATGCATTATAACCACAAGAAAATTTAGCCCCTAAAACATTTCTGCTTTCAAGAAAAATTAAATACAAAAATTTACCGGTGCTCCCTGTAAATTTTGATAAATTTCAACTACGGCCGTACAATGGTAGCTGCGACCATTAAAATCTCAGAGTATGTAGTTGTGATATATAATTTCCAAACGGGAATAGCTAATCGGTCGATTTAAGTCAAGAAACACTGTTTCATAGCTTAATTAATATCTTGACCTTTAGAGGGAGCTATACAACATAAAGAGTTTATTATTTACAATTTCATAACTTTAGATTCGATTTCAAACGCGACAACAATCACTGAATATTGTACGATCGCATATGCTTCCGATATGTTCATTTGAACCAAATTCATGAACCCATACTAAAACTTTTTATTACCTTTAAGGAAACTTCAGTTCAGTTCAGTTCATTTATTTCAATCATAAAACCATAACATAATATATATATACAAAAGTAACATGAAACAATCATAATCTTATAATTCTGGAATTAAGAAATCGGAGACTAAAAAGGAAGTTTGAAAAACTTGTAAGTATAATAGTCCCCTGACATAAATAATAAATAATGAGATTACATGTTTGTACACGTTACTAAAAAAATAACAATATATAAATAAGATACTACACATTACAGATACATACTGATGAACACACACACACACACACCCACACTATACACACACATACACACACACACACATGCATGGTACACTGCAAAGTAGAACAAGTTAAAAGAAAGAGTTAAGGGAAATAAGAAGAGACCAACTGTCTCTTCAATAGAACTTTAAACTTGGAAAAATTTTATATCTACTATATACAGTGCGTATTCCAATTGGTGTACAAAATTTGGTGGCTCCTAATCAAAAATTCATAACCAATATAACTACAAAATCTACCTCATGATGAAGAGTGATTTGTTTACTGTCAAATGATACCGTGTTCCAAATATTTCTGCCACGGGTCACTAAAAACTAGATTCTTTGAAACGTGTGGTCAAAATCACCTTGTACCAAGATTAGGCTGATGGAAAGAATTTGGGTAAGCCAAAATATATGTGCTTCTTAGGTCTTTAAGCGGGACTGCACTACTTGTAGGTAGTTGCGCCCTCTATATAGCCAACAATGCCTAAGCGGTACCCGTTGATCCCCCATGGTCCTTTTTTCTTATGTTACTCGAGAGCTGATTTTATGAGATAACCACCTGCAAGTGACCACGCAGGGAAATCTAATCCCTCCTGGCCAAATTAGTGCAGATAGGCTTTAAATGCTTTTAAAAGGACGATTTTGCTGTAGGTCAGGCAATATGCATGTGCTTTTTTGGTCTTAAATACTTAAAAGGTAAAATTATGCCTCGTACTTTATTATTTAAAATAATGCAACGAATGTAGGCTTTCACAGAAACTTGTTTTAATCCATAGGTTTAATTATTTTGAACACCCTACTAACTCCTTGTCTCATGATATATAAGTGCTCTCCGCTCACTTGTCCGTTGCGCCATTTCACACGCAAAGCATAATGCAAAGAAAGTACACATTTGATGCTAAGTATCAAAGAAATTGACAGTAGACTTTCATTAAAAAAATATAACATCCCAATTAAACTTTATCCATTTTGCATCCCTCAATGAGAAGGGTTATCTTAAACAAAGGGTGCGAATGAAATCAAGATTGTGATCATGTCGAAGAGAATATCATAAATTCTGCTCGTAATAAGCATTTCCTTGAGCTTCAGTAAATATAATCACCTTTTCTTTTTAAGTTCCAGATAGTCAATATAAATATAAGTGTGCAATCGTTTTTGGAGTGAGATAAAACAAACATAATGGATTTTGACCCGTGCATTCATTGCTTCAGCCCAAACTTGGTACAAGAGGATTTTGACAATCCTTTTTGAAAAGCCTGCTGCTCAGTTATCCGTGGCAGCACAATTATGAATATCGTATATTTAAACTGGATATAAGTTATCCTTAACCATGGATAATGATTCAAGGTCACATGGATTAAAACTTTTTTAACTAGAAGCTACCAAAGTTCGGTACTCTTTTTCTTTACACGCACTGTATATCCAAGTTGATAATATTGCTAACTACTGGGTTTCATTGTTCAGTTTTTATCCAGGCGCCCTTTTGGTACAGTTGGTTAATTCACAAAGCGGGAATACATGCTATTTATCGAAAAATATACGATCAAATTTGAATAGGCTTACTTTTACCGCAAATCAACTCATAATACAAAACGTGTCCAGCAGCAGACTATTTCCTATTTCCCTGTTTACGTTGCCTTCAATCCCGTCGAGATTCGTCCTCGTTCTCCATATTCTGTGGACCTTGAATATTAAGGTGAACAGGTGAGATAAAAGTATTTCATAATGTTCATTAAAATTTTAGTTAGTGTTGTTTACTACATTATAAGAGAGAGATGGATATCCTTTGCTTCACTGGTGTACCGTCTGTTTGGAGCAAAAAAATACACCCTTTTTCTATTAAAAAAAATAAGATTGGAATGGAATGGGGATGATAGTAGAATTCTGCCGAGTAGAATTTTAAACAAAAAAAAGGACAATATAACACTGTTTTACATATTTAAAACATCATTATGAAGACTGAAGACCTAGGGAATGCAATGTTGGATACTAAATCAGCATATCACGAGAAACCGCAAAGACTCGGCTAAAAATACGCAATTATGATTCCTAGAACGTAATATTGAATAGAAGAAAACTCATTGTTAACAATTTTGGAGAACCCCGAAATATGGAAAAATGGAAACTTACTGTAAAGAGTTAATACCGCGAAATGTCTTGGTGTACTAATTGATAAATCATTGAATTGGCCTAGACACGTTGTCAAAATAATGAAGGAAATGCAAAGAAATGACGGTGTGATAAAACGGGCAAAGGAATATTTACCATTAATATCTATAAAGTATCTGTATAATGCATTTATGGTGTCTCCCTTTCATTACTTTGTTTTTTGTTTACATGTTCGCCTTTTTTGATAATATAATTTGCACTTATTAAACCGCATATCAAGAAATCAGAATTCGTTTTTTTACAATGGACCAATTATTTGGAATAACCACCCAACTAACCTCAAAAACAGTAAGACTGCAAAACAAATCAAACGATTATTTAAAGAGCACCTCTTGGACTCATAAATGATGAATATTTTGTTTGTATTTCCTTTTTTTTTTTTTTTGGCGCTGCCTGCCTTTCATTATTACCTCTTTTTTTTGTTAAATGATCACCTTTTTGTTAATAAACCTACATATATTAAACCGCATATCAACAACTCGGAATTCAAGATTTTACAATGGATCAATTATTTAGAAAAACGTCCTTTCTAATCTCAAGAGTAGTAAGACTGCAAAACAGTTCAAACGATCAGTTACAAAACACCTCTTGAACTCATAAATGATGAATATTTTGTTTATATTTCCTATTTTTTCTTCCTGATCATTTTTTGTTTGTATTTGATGTTAAGTTTTTCCTGTTATAATTGTTGATATTTTCTTACAATGTATTATATGTTATGTGTATACTTGTTAAGGGGTCAATAAGCCAACCAGTGCTTTTCACGATCCTGCCACTAATATTCATATGTATTTGTTATTGATTTGTAAATTGTTTTTAAAGTGGAAATAAATTGAATTGAATGTCCAAAAAGTAGTTTTCATCCTTCGGCCGAATGGAAAATAGTAAAATAGTCACGTCGCGAGCAGCGTTCTTCTGTGAGGTCAGTTCAAATAAAGTCAACAAAGCCCAAAAGGGAGCTTTGAGATTAATTTCAAAGCAAATCCTCGAGACTCCGTCAAGTGATTTGTTTAGTACTATGAAATGGATCCCAATTGAAAAGCGTTGCGGATTTCAACTCGCTACTATGATGTACAAGTGTGCATATGAATTGACACCATCCTATTTAAAAGAAGGTTTAATTAACGTAAGTGACATTTATCAGTATCATACGAGGCAGGTACGTTTAATTTCCGTGCTAAAGTATAAATCAAAATGTTTTAAACATACACCATCGTGTCTTCAATTTTTGAAAAATGGCAAGCTCTGTGAACACATTTAAATGTATGTTTAAACGATCTTGTAATATCCGTTCCCAAACAGTGAATGCCGAGAGTAGAAAGTAGGAGTAGAATGAGTAGTAATAGTAGTAGCAGTGGTAGTAGTAGGGGTTGTTTTTGTTGTTGTTGTAGTAGTAGCTTTAGCAGTAGTAGTAACAGTAGTAGTAGTAGTAGTAGTAGTAGTAGTAGTAGTAGTAGTAGCTGCTATAATGGTAGGAAGAGTTACATAAACCGGGTAGCAAATACAATTCAAAAAGAAAAACAACAAAGCCATGAATCGTGAATACACCAGTTGTAAACGATTCGTTCATTAATACTAGTACAATGTAAGTGCATAATAGGGATCCGTAAGTATCTAATAACATGTGCGAACTATAATATACAAAAAGCAATATTAATACAAACAATTTATATTTAGGCTGTTAAAACTGAAATCTTTGTGTCCAAATGTATATGGAAATAAATATTTAATTAAGCGGAACAAAGTTTTGGAAGCTTTTTTGACCTGTGTAATACAGTCATAACACGCAAACGACAAGAAATCAGTGACGGATTGATTATACTTTATGATATTTAGCTAATAAAAGTGATTTCTCTGAGATTGTCTTTTACTCTTAAAAGAGTATTAAATGTGTAAGAGTTGAAAAACTAAAACTGATGAAAACATTTGACTTAATTGACCCTTGGTTCAGTCAAGATTGGCAGTTGTTTGTGAAAGTAGACCCCCCCCCCCCCCCATACGAATGTGAAAAGATAATCAAACATAAAGAGAAAAGATATAGGGCAGCAAAAAGAGGGGAAAGTAGTTTAAAGGAAGAATTCTGCTACATTTAGACAAATTACTTTAAAATTGAAAAACGTCTGTATTAATCTTAAATATTAACAAGAATCTATTTTGCAACATGATGAAAACAGGTCAAAGCTATAGTTGTCAATAGTCCTCATGCCTGCTCTGGTATAGAACGTTTCGGCTCCTGTACTACACGCTTTGTCAAAACTTCAGTCCAAAACCCGGCGTACTAACCTAATTTTACCAAACTATAAAGTAATTCAATAGGCTTTGTGTCAGTCCTGGATGGTTGAACTTTATTTACAAAAAAAAACATGCATTCACAGCATAAAAGACGATTTTCTATTTAAAAAAACCTTTAATGATTAGAGGCCAGTTTGCCCCCTCTTGGTAATAAACACAATTTTGTGTTTGTCATACCAGTAAGAGAGTGCTGAAATGAAAAGGCAATATTTCTTTGACTGATGAAAGAGAGGAAAAGAGATCAACAGTGTGATAAGTGATCTGATAACCCTAGTTTACTTCTTTGGTGTGATGGCAGAAAGATAAGGGACCCAGATTGGTCAATTACAAATATTTCCAACTCATTTTCAGTAGATTTGGAAGGATTACAGCAAACTAAATCAATATAAATCAAGATAATTCCTTAAGCTTTCAATATGTTTACATGAATACGTAACTTCTCATTTATGTTTCAGTTATGACCATAACTTTTAAATATTCATGAAGGAGTACGAGTAATCATTGAAAGGGGGCTACACTGCACCCCCCCCCCCCTGAAATAACATTATGGCCCATTAAGGAAGGGCTACACTGCACCCCTTCAAAAGCAGTGCTGCCATTCAGAGCTTTTCGACCTGTGAATATTTATTTACATAATGAGGACCTTCCGAAATCGATTCTTTCTCTTTCGGCATTACTTCCATTATTTCCCCCCCCCCCCTTCATGTGGAAAAGTGATGGAGTTCTCAGTATTTCACCTTCACCAAAATTCATCCTCCTCAGTCTCTAAATAAACAGTTCGAAGGACGATATTACATGCTCTCTTTGATTTGTATTATTATCCATTTCATCAAATTTGAGTATGAAAATGCCTTATCTTTTACTAGGCAAGCCCGTTAAAGCAGTCCATTGCTGCTTAAGAATGGCAAGCATCGTCACCGTGCCCAAAAGTAGCATTCGTTCAATGTATAATTTCACTCTTGTTAAACATTATGTACCTAACGGCTGTACTGTAGTTTTGGGGACCTATACACTCATAAAAGACCACAAGGCCACATTGGAAAAGAGCCTGCATTCGGTTTAAATCTTTAACCGTGTTACGATTGTTCTTTCTTAAATGCACTTTATGACGGAAAAATAAAGTCAAAGCCTCTGTAGGATTATGTAGGTTATGTCTTTGAAAATGACAGTAGTTCAAGAATAAGCCTTTGATATTTGATTGTTGGTTCAACTGCATAAAACATATGGTTGTGTGTGTGTGGGCGGGCGTAAAATGGGGTTAATGTGTATGTGTGGTGAGTGGGTACTTTGGGTGTTTAGTAGAGGGTAAATGAGTGGTGGGTGTTAATGTGGTGTGAGTGTGGATGTGTGTATTACTTATCGTGTATGCATAAAAAGAAAACACGAATTCGATTTTATACACGACAATAAACATGTATACTAGTCTTTATGCGGGGCCAAAAAAAGACAAAAATTGTGTTTAATTGTATTAACAGGATTCCCTTGTGAATTTGAAATAAAACTAAATCAAAGGAGAACCGCGCTCGCTTCCTAATGTTTTTAATATACTTACCATGTATGCGGAAATTTTATATATTTTCTTATGTTATATCTTTATGGCACTTTTAACATGCGTATTCAATCCCTGCTTTAGGCTTGAAGAGGCTGTAAGAGGGAAAGGATGATTTTATCATTCTCATTATTGATGAAGCATTAGGCACTTTTGTACAGAATTCATTGAACATGATGAACTATAAAAGTTAAAACATGCTTTATACCAGCGTTTTTTCAAGCGGGGTGCCGCGAGGGAAATATTTTGCATCCATTGTGAAACTAACGTCAATTTCGTGAAAACTAAATATTAAAAACCTCACTGTGTTTTCACGAAAAGTTAACATTTAAAACTCTTTATTTCCGAAAAGAGTGTGCCGTGACTATCACAAGGTTTTAATAAATGTTGCTTTATACGACTAAAGTTAGTTGTGTAGATTTTGTGGAAGGGCTACAGTGCATCCGTGTAAAGAGCCGTGTTATATGAACATGTAGTCAAGCACCGAGTCTTAAGGAAACTTGGAAATAATTCTACATACATTTTATACAGTTCGTATGCCGAAAAGTGTATCCACATTTCGTTGACCTATTTAATAAGTCATAACCAATAACCAACTTTGAAATCTAATTCATGATGAAGAATAACTTGTTCTCCGTCAAATGGAACCATATTCATGAAATATCTGTAACGGGTGACTGAATACTAGATTCTT